AACTGTTTTTTCGTTTTTCGTCAATAACTCATTAAATATTGATGCTAGCGAAGAATTTTTATACAGAAATTGTAGATCTCGTCGTCCTCTACAAGAAAGGTCCTATGCAATTTTCTCGTAGGACCAACGGTTTAGAAGTTATTATCAAAAAACGAAACTTTTGCAAAATTTGAAGGGGTACCCCTTGGAAAAATCTCGGAAAAATAAAAAATTTTTTTTTCGCTTAATTTCGACAAATGCCTCGAATAAAAGTTATAAATACTACTATTACCTTCAATTTCCTTCTACCTCAAACACTTCCTCAATATTTAACAACTTAACTACAATTAATTAGCATTTTATTGATATTAATTTTGCTCTTACTTCATCTCTCCTCGATGATAATATCAAAACTCCGATGATCGACAATCCTAAGGAGATCTGTAGTTGACCGACGAATGGTTTACTGGCCTCTCCATTATCGAAACCAGACAATCCACTCACAGCTGGTAAAAACGAAGAATTCTCCACTGATTCGATAAAATCAGCAACGAACGACAATACCACACGCAAGAAATCATCGTCAACGTTTCACAATCGAAATCCTAAAAAATAAATAAATGACATTGCAAAATCAATTGCACACTCGAGTTCTTAATCAACGCCCTCGACTCTTACCGTGCGTGACTCGTCTCGACTGTCTTTCCTACATTCGCACGACGTAAACCCGTCGCCTACCGCCACGCAATAATTAAACAGAACTCAGATTTCATGCATTCTCTGCCAGTCAACGTGACCGCGTCGTAGTGGGGCGACACGTCATCAGTTAAATCCATCGCAGATAGCGACTTGCCAATAAGTAGTTCCAAATACACAGTTCATTATCTTTCCTTCTAATCTACCTCGGCACCGACGGTCGCTGGGGCTGGGATGTGACTCGCAGCAGTGAGTGACATTCATTGACACTGAATTCGTCGAACGTGAACAAACCATGGGCTTGGAGGATTACAAGGAACTCGTGGGATCGTGCGCGTCCATCTGCACGATCGTCCAAATGCTCTCCGGGACGTGAGTTGAACCACCAAACGCCTCTCCCAATTATTCACATTAATTTATTCATCTTCACTATTTACATAAAAATTTCTGCTGCTTTTTCTATTATTTTATATTCCGTTATTAAAAACTGTAACAAACATCAAGGCATTACCAACAGAGACTGCAATCCCTCCACGTGCTATTGATTATTTGTTTTTATTCAATCTATAGAAACACTGCAGCAAAATAAATTCAACAGCACAAGAAACGCAATTCTAAAACATGGAATATTAATTGTAAGGTCCTTGAGAATTGCAATTTTTAACGTAACGGTTGACTGGTTGCGTCACCGATACTTTATCCTACCTTGAAACTCCTTGACTTATTTTTAAGCTCTTATCGCTCTCAAATTTTCATACAATAAGCTAAAGGAGATAGTACCTGGACACTTTTGAATGTTTTTTCCAACGAAATTTAAGCATAGTACATGAAAACTTATCATCTTAGTAGATAGCTGGGATCTCATAG